AGCACTGTGGAAATCAGTGTGGAGATTTCTCAAAGAACTAGGACTAGACGTTCCATTTGACTCAGCCATTTCCTTCCTGGGTACCCCCAACCCCCAAAATTAAATGTATCACACCACAGCAATATATGCACATCTATGTCTGCCACATAGTTTATAACAGCCAAATCTTGGAAACAGCCAAAATGCCCATCAATCATGAAATGGATAAAAAAAAGTTGTTTGGTTTTTAAAAAATTTTTTATGTATTTGGTTCAGGGTCTCACCACACAGCTTGGACTCATAGTGATCCCCTTGTTTTCAGCCTCTCCAGTGCTGGGATTACAGGTGTGTGCCGCCAAGCCAAGTCTCACCCCGCAACTTGGGGGTGGGACAATGACAGCATGTGGTGCAGGGGATCAAACCGTGGTCTCTGCACTTGCCTCTGCTGAGCTATCTTTCTGGCCCTAAAAAGCTGTGGTTTTTTGTTTTTTTTTTTAATATAATAGAGCACTGTTCTGCCATAAAGAAGTTTAAGCTTGAGACATTTCTAGGAAAATGAATGTACCTTGAATCCATACTCTTAAGTGAAATTAATTTGACATACATTAAATACCACACTGTTTCTTTGGTGTGAGAAACCAAAAGTGTAAATATAGACCAAAATGTATAATGGGCACTGTGAAATGGGAAGGAAATGTTCAAATAAAGAGGAGGAAAGAAGGGAAAAGTTAAAAAAAAAAATGAGAAAAGGAGGAAACAAAGCTTTTGAAAATAGGGAGAGGGGAGGAGTTAAAGGGAAGGTAGGGGGCCAGGGAGATGGCTCAGTAGACTAAGTGCTTGCCTAGCAAGCGCAAGGGCCTGAGCTCAATCCCCGGTTCCACGAGAAAAAAAAAGGGGGGGTGAGGTAAAGGAATGGGGAACAAGTTGTATCATGTACAGGTACTAATTTTCTATGATAAATTGTGATCACTATGTATATCTAAAATGTACAATAAAATTGATTTTAAAAATCATAGAAGAAAATCTATGGCTTAAACTCTTAAGAGTTAGTTAGTATGCTAGACCTTTCTGAGATATTTTTTTCAAATTAGATTTTTTTTTTTTTTTTTGTACCGGGATCAAACTCGGGACCTTGCACTTGCCAGGCAGGGGCTTATGCTGCTGAGCTGTATCACTGGTCGTAAAGTAGATTTTATTGGTACATTTTTGATATACATTCGTAATAGGGAATTTGTACCTGTATAGGATATAACTTGATCCTTTTTTCCCATTCTGTTACCCTCCCTTTAACTTCTTTCCCTCCTTATTTAAAAAATGCCATAGGCTTATAAACATTCAGTTATCTCCACCCAAATCCAAGTAAAATGCCATTAATTAACGAAACCAGCTGGGCATACTGGTGCATGCCTATAATCCAAGTATCCCAGAGACTGAGGCATGAGGATCACTATGAGTTTGCAGCCAGCCTAGTGAATGAAACCCTGTCTCAAAAACCCTGTCTCAATCAATCAATCAATCAATCAATCAATCTAACAGTTAATTCTTGCTAACAAAAGAGAAATGCATTAATATAAAAAAAAAAAGAGAGAGAAATGCATTTGACAGAACTCTGTGGTACGGCTTTCTGGAAGCAGCGGATAATTAGGAGGCCCACTGTCTTTCACTGTAACGGGCTCCAGCAGCTGCTGGACTTTACAGAACTAAGTAATCTACAGTGATAAAGCCATATATAATCTATTGCAGAAAAAAATAAGCATTTTAAAGATGCAATTAAAATATCACCTTTAAATCACAGCAAAATTATTCATCAGTAGCAATGACTATTCTATGAGGTTTGGCTAAAATAATCAGTAAATTCAGCCAGGCATGGTGGCACAGCTACTCAGGAAGCTAAGTCAGGAGGATCACAAGTTCAAAGCCCGTCTGAGCAACTTAGTGAGCTGTGCCTCAAATAAAAATGGGCTGAGAGTGTAGCTTAGTAGTAGAGGACCTGTCTAAAATACAGGAAGCCCTGGGTTCAATCCCTTCTGTTGAAAAAACAAAACAAAACAAAACAAAAAAAACAGTAAAATTATCTGCAATTATTTCTTCATAGTTCCCAGAAAAAAACTGGTCTTAGAATTAGGCTTGCCACAAGGTCACAGGCATCACTGCGGGCGGGGTCGGCCCCAGCACTCCCAGGAGGCGCTAGTCGGACACAGCAAGGCACAGCCACACACAGCAGGTCCTGCGGCCACACAAGGGCGGCACCAGCCGGATGCGCTAGCGTAAGTCCAGTCATCCTTCAACAGTTAGAGGGTCCATGCCGAAGGCGCTCAAGTCCGACAAGTTGGACAAAGAAACTCACTCTTGGGCATTTGCGCTTCCGCCCCTACCCCATCGCTGACCATCTTCTTGGTCATCCAGGCCTCGGTCTAAATGCCACTGCGTAAGAGGCCCACCTAGCTTACCCACCTAAAGGGCCCAACCACACGCTACACAACCCTGTGTTGTCTCTCAGCACAATACAACCTCCTTTCTTTTTTCTTCTTCCTTCTGCTCCCCTTTTCCTCTCTTCCACCCGACCATCCTCCTCTTCCTCCTCCTTTTGCTTTGCAATACTGGGGACTGAATTACTGAACTACCTCCCTCGCCCTTTTTCTTCTGAGACAGGGTCTAATTAAGTTTCCTTTTTTAAGTTTTTTTTTGCGGAACTGGGGCTTGAACTCAGGCCCTTACGCTTGCTAGGCAAGTGCTTATTCTACTGAGACATCTCCCCAGTCCCTCAACTCATTAAGTTTCCTAAGCTGGCCTTGAAATCACACCCCTTCTATCTGAACTCCCAAGCAGCCACAATTATAGGCATGTGTCACCATGCCTGGGTAGGTATTTTCTTCTTTTTTAAAAAAATGTGTTTAGTACAGGGTCTGCAGGGTCTCACTACACAGATCAGACTTGTAGTAGTCCTCCCATTTTCAGCCTCCCAAGCAATGGGATGACAGGCAAGCACCACCACATCCAGTATCAACTGCCATCTCAGCACACCCTGGGGGCAGAGCCAGCACAGCAGGCCAGGGATCAAGCCTTGGTCCATGCATCTGCTAACACAGGCGCTTTAATCTGCTGAGCTATCTGGCCGGCTCCTTTCTTCTTTACTACTTTGCTATCTGCCTCCCACCTCATTAGCTCCAGAGAGCAGAGATCTCATCTGTCCTGCCCACAGTTATATTCTTAAAATTTAAAGCAATGCTTGCCAGATAGAAGACTCAAACTTATTTGTCAAATTAAAAGAGGCATCTTTAACAAAAAATAAAATAGTTCTTCTCTACAAAGAAAAGTCCATCAATCAGAAGCTATATTAGTATTTCATAACTAACCAAATGCTGTTTTTATTCAGAAAAAGTGGTTAGTGGAAGTTGGTTAGGTAAAAGCCCATTTTTGATTCAGAGTATTTTATCAACTTAGAATCTGAAATGTTCAACATGGAGCCATTATAATTTACTGTAAAATTGAATAAACTACTCATTTCTGCTACTAAAATCCTGATAGCTTTGTTGAGTTAAATTCATAGGAATGAAAAATGTGAGGGTGTGTGATGAGCCTGTGTGTTCAGACCAGGGCAGGGTGCTGGGGTCAGGGCAGACAGCGGGCGGCTGTGCTTTTGTCTGGAGTCACGCGCTGCAGCCCCATCGCTGCTAGGGAGTTACCTCACTGCATTAGAAGGTGCTCTGGCCCTTGTTTTTTGTTTCCTACTACCATGAAAATAGTTGTCCACATACTGTCAAAATTTCAATACAACGAACTTAAGAGTTGTTTCTTTTGGTCTGCTGCAGTATAAACAACAAGAAGTCAGCCAGCCACTGCCCAAATTCCCTCAGGATTTGGTCGCAAGTTCTTTCTTCTTTAGACATTGTAAGTGAATTCAATGCTGACTCACCCCCTTCACAGTAAGGCTGCGATAACAGAATTCCTTCAAAGTGGTAGACTCCTAGTCTGGGATTTTTCCATTATGTCACAGGGCTTCACTTAGCATGTTTTAAATTATATTTTAAAAGTATTCAGT